ATCTCCCATGGAGTGCCGTCGAGGAGAGAAATCAGGTCCGAGAACCATACTCGGCCCGGCCAGAACGGGGCTACTAGTAGCAGACAGACCCCGTCCCGGCGCACTCTCTCCAGAACTCCCGGGAGCAGAGCGATCGGGGGAAAGGTGTTAAGACGAAGACTCGGCCAAGTCTGTACCATAGCATCCAGCCCCAGTGGAGCTGGATGAGTCAGAGAGAACCAGAGGGGACATTGCGATGTCTGACAAGTCGCAAACAAGTCCACCTGAGCATGGCCAAAAATTCTTCACATCTGCTTCACCACCTCGGGGTCAAGCCTCCATTCCCCGGGCCTCGGCCCCTGCCTCGACAGGACGTCTGCTCCCATATTCAGATATCCAGGAATATGCACTGCTCTCAGTGACAGGATTTTCCCCTGGGACCACACAAGGATCTGGTGCGCCAGCTTGTACAACCGGGAGCAGAGCGATCGGGGGAAAGGCGTACAGACGAAGCCTCGGCCAGGTCTGTACCATAGCATCCAGCCCCAGTGGAGCTGGATGAGTCAGAGAGAACCAGAGGGGACATTGCGATGTCTGACAAGTCGCAAACAAGTCCACCTGAGCATGGCCAAAAATTCTTCATATCTGCTTCACCACCTCGGGGTCAAGCCTCCATTCCCCGGGCCTCGGCCCCTGCCTCGACAGGACGTCTGCTCCCATATTCAGATACCCAGGAATATGCACTGCTCTCAGTGACAGGATTTTCCCCTGGGACCACACAAGGATCTGGTGTGCCAGCTTGTACAAGGGGCGCAAACGCAGGCATTCTTAGTGGTTGATATAAGAGACCACCACTGTGTTGTCGGTGCGCACAAGCACATGGCGATCTCGCAGGTCCGGGAGGAAGTGTTTCAAAGCTCGAAATACTGCCAACATCTCTAGGCAGTTGAAGTGCCAAGTGAGATGGCGACCGCTCCACAGACCGCGGGCAGGGTGGCCACTCATGATCGCACCCCAGCCAGTGGAAAACCTCGGGGAAAACCCCTTGGACTTGAGCCACCACTGTAGGGGTCTTATGTACAGCAGGCCAAAAGGTATCACGTTGGACGCAGCTGCCATTAACCCCAATAGTTTCTGAAACAGCTTGACAGTGAGTGACTGGCCTTCTCTGACTCTCTTGACTACCGTGAGGATCGACTCGACCCAAGCAGGAGACAACCATGCCTGCATCGTGGTCAAATCCCACACCACGCCCAGATAGGTGGTCCTCTGTAATGGAGAAAAGACACTTTTCTTGGTGTTTAGTCTTAACCCCAACTCCTTCACGTGAGCAAGAACAACATCTCAATGTCGAACCGCCATCTGTTCCGATTGAGCTAAAATCAACCAATCGTCGATATGATTTAGTATGCGGATGCCCTGGAGTCGCAGTGGAGCCAAAGCGGCATCCACACACTTCGTAAAGGGCATTCTGAACTTCAGTTTCATGACTGAGTGATTCAACTGACGGAGATCTACAATGGGACGCAGCCCCCCATCCTTCTTTGGAACAATGAAGTACCGGCTGTAGAACCCGGACCCCCTGTCGTGAGGAGGGACCACCTCGATGGCCTCCTTCCTCAAGAAAGTATTGACTTCCTGTTCTAATACCAGAGCCTGCTCAGGGCCCACGAGTGTGGGAAAGACCCCGTTGAATGGTGGCGGAGGAGCGCCGAACTGAATGCGATAGCCTTTCTCTACAGTGTGCAGGACCCAACGAGATACATTTGGCAGTAGATTCCACGCTGCTAAATAATATACTAAGGGAACCAGTCTCTCGAGACTGGCCTCTGGTGTACTTGTGGCTGCTAATTCGATACCCTGAAGCGGAGGACCGGCAGGAGATGGCCGTACTAGTTGTTCTGGAGACCCCCGAAGGGGTAGCGAGCCCCTCAGCTCCGCTACTTTCCCGGGCGGAAGAAACTGAGGGGAGCGCTCGCTGCAGACCGCTGCGCCCTGAAGCATCATTGATGGCAGGGTTGGCAGAAAGATCTCCCGAGGGCATTGAGGAGAGACGGACACCGTATACTGTAGTGCACCCCGCTCTTCCCCAGTAGGGGACATTTTCTCATGACAGGGCCTTTTGGCCGAGGACTTCCTCTGAAGTATGACCCTCAGGTCGGGCTTCGACTGCGAAGCCCTCGACCCAGAGCGCCGCTGACCTCGGTCCCGTTGCGGGGGAGCACGAGAAGCGACGCTCTGTTTTTGTTGTTCACTGTATGAGGAGGAGGTATGCGGCGAGAGCTGCTCCCGCCCAGCAGCATAACAATAATAATAATAATAATAACAAAATATAAATTTTACTTTATTGTTAATTACAAACAAATTGACAAACAAATCAATAAAATCTTACTATTGCAATAATCAGATTGAAAATTTTTAAATGTATTTAATAATAATAAATACTGACTTTTTATTTTACAGTGGAACAGGATTAATGTAGTGGTAACTTATTTAAATATTAAAACTATATAATTAATATTTTGGTTAATACTAAATACTCACTTGTTTGTTTTACAGTATTACTGCAATTATATCATTTCTTTATTGTTATTATTTAGGTTATTATTAGTAGTATAACACTGACATTTTATTTTACAGTGCAATATGATTACTGAAATAGTTTTTAATAATAATAAATTATTATTTTGGCTATTACTATAATGTAAATTATAAGAAATAAAGAAATATGATGTGATTTTAATAATCATAATAACAAAAATAAGAAAAATATAATATATTAATTATAATTGTATTGTGTAAATTACAACAATTAAAAAATCCATTCCATCCATATTATTGCAATATTTATTAAATAAAAAGTCAGTATTCTTAATAATATTAACCAAAATATGAATTTTATTTTATTATCATAAGATAATAACATAACTGGTATAATTGAAATACAATTGTAATATAAAATAAAATTCAATATTTATTATTATTATTAGTAGTAGTAGTCGAATTAAAATACAGACTTTTTATTTTACAGCAATTGTACAATTTTTAATGCATTTATTATAATTTAAATAATAATAAAACAAAGTTTATATATTTTTTATTATTATTAACAATATTATTTCTACCTTATTTTAAATATACCAATTAAACAAATCAATAAAAATTCTTACTATTGCAGTAATCATATTGTACTGTAAAAAAAATAAAATGTCAGTGTTTAATAATAATAATAATAATAATAATTATTATTATTATTATACATTTAAATAACCAAAATATTTTATATTGTAATATCTTATATATCTTATATTATAATAATTAATTATTAATTATAACAAAAGAGAAAATAAATATATTATGATTGCAATAATATTATTATACATTTAAATAACCAAAATATTTTATATTGTAATATCTTATTATTATTTAATTATAATAATTAATTATTAATTATAACAAAAGAGAAAATAAATATATTATGATTGCAATAATCCAATTGTACTGTAAAATAAAAAGGGAGTCTTTATTAATAATAAATAAATATATTATGATTGCAATAATCCAATTGTACTGTAAAATAAAAAGGGAGTTTTTATTAATAATAACCAAAATAGTAATTGTATTTTTAAAAATATTATAACAATTACATTTAATCAATAATAATAGCTTTGTTTTATTGTTATTTAAATGTTAACAATCCATTAAAAATGGTACAATTGCTGTAAAATAAAGTTAGTTTTAATTATATGATTATTATTACTATTATTATTATCATCATTATTACATATTGAGTTATTATTTTATATTGTTTTCATATTATTTTATACATCTTATAATAACATAAAATTCATATTTTTATTATTAATAAATAATGACTTTTTATTTTATAAATATTGCAGTAATAATATTGCAATAATAAATTTTTTATTGATTTGTTAAATTGTTGTAATATAAATAATACAATTATAATATATAAATATTATTGATATTTTTGTTATTATGATTATTATCATAACATTTCTTTATTTC